GACCAGAACCAAACACAGATATGGACCAGAACCAAACATCTGGACCAAAACCAAGCACACATACTCGACCAGAACCAAACACACACACAGCTGTGGACAAGAAACAAACACACATCTGGACCAGAACCAAACACACACACATGGCTGTGGACCAGAACCATTCATCTGGACCAGAACCAAACGCACACAGCTGTGGACCAGAACCATTCATCTGGACCAGAAGCAAACATCTGGACCTGCTCACAGGATGTGGCTAAGCTCCTGCAGCTGCTCCAGGGCCTCGTGGCACCAGCATCGTGGCACCGGGACCCCACAGCCCGGGCAGGCCCCTCTGTCCGGACTGTCCAGAACCTCGGCCCCGTCCTCGCCAGCCCCTTCCCGGTTCATGTAGACTGAGAAGGTCCGGCTGTAGAAGTCCAGAACCCGCTCCTGCAGAACTGGAGGAGGGGAGAAGAGCAGGAGAGCCCTGATGGTGGTGAAGGCCCGGTCCAGGAGGGGCCGGGGGCCCGGTCCGCTCAGACCGCCACGGCCCTCCTCCTGCCAAGACCCCAGTCTCTGCAGACCACCTGTGGGGGTAAGATGGGTCGGTTCAGAGAGGCCCACTTCAACAAGAACCTCTGACTGCTCGGAGGACACGAGGACTGGATCTGAAGTTCTGTACAGGACGTGCTTGGTTCTACTTGCCCAGGAAAGGTTCCAGGCGGTCCAGAAGAGTCCTGAAAGCGGTGAGGAGAATCCAAGCCCGGTCTCTTTCCTCCAGCTCGTTCTCGGGCCGTTTAAGTCCAGACCAGAACTCGGGAACCACCGAGGAGGACAGATGCATCTGCAGAGTCTCCAGCAGCCAGACTCCGAGCATCCCGCCCAAACCGTGGCCAGAGAGCAGAACCAAGGAGTCCGAAAGGTTCTGGTCCGACACCGAGCATCCAGGAGACACCTACGGAACAAGAACAGGAAGTCAGAACATAGAGACCAGAACCTGTGATCAGGACCTACAGGACATCAACGGCAAAATGAAACAAAAACAAAACTTTCACAAACTTATAATTTTGAATTATTTTAATTCAAACTTCTGTGATGGATTCAAATAAACTTGAATTCTGCTTCAACTCGTTTAGCTTCGACCATTCAACGTATTCAAGTCGAATTATAATTACAAACACGTTAGCCGACATCAGCAGAATATTCGTGTTCGTTAAATAAAAGGCTCATTTTAAGATTTAATAAAAAATAAACCCCGGTTAGAAGCAGAAAGCCTTAAATCTTCCGTTTTTTGAATGGAGTTCTGCATGGCGCCTCTCTCCATCTTTCACTGCGGAACTCCTGGGCCCAGAGCCCACTCACCAGAGCTGCGGTGGCGGATTCCCACGCTTCAGCGACCCCGTGATCCGGTCCGGGTCCGGATATTTCCACCGGGTCCGATTCCATCAACATGTCCTCCATTTTGGGACACTTTCTTCACAAACACCGAACCAGCTTGCCTGGACTCAACATTTTACTTCAGCGTGTCGATCCTGTATGAACACACGCGTAAAAACCTAAACTTTGTCTCCGCTGAATTTCGAACAACATACAATAACAAATAAATGTCATATAAAACATTAACGTAAAGTACACAAGAACCTCGCGTCGTGAGGCGGGTTTTTCTACTTCTTCAATACAAGAACGCTCAAAGCGGTGTCCATTGCTGCCCTCTGCTGGACAACACCAGCAGCTACAACCATAGACATGAAGATACAGGGAAACTCTTTCATTCAACCTTTATTTCTGCAGGTTAATCCCATTGAGCCTCGGGGACTCATTTACAAGAGAGACCTGATTTTAACAAAGACTGATGACAACAGTGGACACTCATAAAGGATGTGTACAAATTAATTTTTTTTTTTTTTTTTTTAACAAGTGAAAATAAAATGGTAATTAAAAGGAAAAGTAGCAATAAAAAAAACAGCTAGATTATAAGGCGGTGTAGAAAACTAAAAACAAGAACATGTCTGCATTAGTTTTTTCTAGGAACTTAGCAGATGAAGAAGATTTATTCACTGGTTAACTGGTCATCATTAACTTCCTACAGACTCTCACTGGTACATTTTCATCATTAAATCACTTCTTGGTCTGTTCCCTTCATACATCTACAGGTCTCTGCGTGAGTGCAGCTACAGCGTGCGCTCTCAGAACACTATTACCTGCAGTGTTCCCTCAGTGAGGACTGAACTAGGCAAAAGGGCCTTCTCCTACTCGGCTCCTGTTTTCTGGAATATCTTACAAAAAGACCTGAAGCTCTCGACCTTGACCTCTAAGTGGCTTCAAACATCTGTGAAGTTCCTGGCAGAAACCAATGCAGACATGTTCCTGTTTTTAGTTTTCTACACCGCCTTATAATGTTTTTTTTTCTTGATACTTTTCTTTTTGACTGTCCTTTTGATGGATATTTTGTTTTGATTTATATTAAAAAAAAGAAATCAGGTCTCTCTTGTAAACGAGTCCCCGAGGCTCAATGGGATTAACCTGTAGAAAATAAAGGTTGGAAGATGTTTGAAGTCACTTAGAGCAGTCAAGATTCTGAAAGAACCAACATTTTAGTAAGATACCTGAAACAGACGCATTTGTTTGAAATAATATGAGTTATATTTAAAAAATTGTTTATTTAATTTGTTTTTTATTCATTCATTTGTATGGAGGGATTTCTTTGAGCGCCATTCCAGTTCACACTCCTAACCGACAGGTGGCGCTAAAGCACACCGCCAATTTAAAGGGAAGAAGAAGAGCGTGTTAGCAGCAGCTAGCAGCAGAAGCATCATGATGGCGGCTGAGTATGAGTGAGTTTGTTGACATGTCTAAATTTTCTTCTGTAATTACTCACAACACGCTGCGACTTTAGCCCCGCACGTCACCGCACACCGAGGCCCGCAGGTCTCTGAGTTAATTGTGTTGAAGTGTCGCTGATTTCGCGGAGTTAGCAAACGGAAAGCTAACAGGCTAGGCAATAAAACCGTAAACAAACTGAAAATGACTGTTGTTGTTTGTTGTCAGTGTTCAGTCTGAGATCGAGGTGCTGCAGTCCATCTACCTGGACGAGCTGCAGGTGGACAGGAGGGAGGACGGGTGAGAACAGCTGCTCCTTTCTCTTTTATTTGACATAATTTAGGAAAAGTGTCCATAAAATGTGTGAATATATGGATGCAAAATAAATGTATATTTTACACAAACTCTTTTAAAAAACTTTGCAAAGAAAAGTACCAGAACAAAACATTTAAAGAGAAAATAGAAAGAAGCCAAAATAATTATTTTTTTCTAAATATCAAATTAGTACAAATTATCTCATCTTCATTTGTCTTCTTTTGAAGGAGCTGAAGAGTTGGGATTTAATTTGACATAAATTTTATAAAACAGTGTGAATTTTTTTTATGTTCAGAAGAGTCGTCCTGAAAAGTTCATGTGTTCACATTTCTCTGATTTAAATAAATAAATAAATCAAAAACTAAACAGATGAGAAAATTCAGTGAAAAAAGTCTCATTAGACCGAGTGTAAACACACCTGATAAACCACCAACACACACCTGATGTGCGTGTTGCTGTTGCAGGACGTGGGACATCAGCCTGGTCCTGTACCCGTCCACAGCGGAGGACTCGGTGTCTCAGTTTGTCCGCCTGTCTCTGACTTTGAGCCTGGATCATCAGGTCTGTTTCTTCCTTTCCTTCAGATAAAAGTGTGGTTTTGCCAAAAAGAACCATGAAAACACGCAGACATGTTGTGTGGTTCTGACTGTGGTGCTTTGGGGCCATCTGTCCTCGTCCCCTGCAGTGAGGAGATTCAGAAACGTCTCCCCTCTATTTAATCTTGTCTGAAACTCGCCTCTTCACATCAGCTTATGATTTACTCACTTCTAATTTCTGTGGTCGTGTAGTTTGAACTCTTGATTGTTCGTTTTTCTGCTGTCAGAAGTTTTTAGCTGCTCAGTATCCTCGAGTGCAAGAGGAGAAAAAGAGTACCGGTAAAGTCGGAGACTTGAGACCAAGTGGTGGAAGCTGAGAAAAGAAGAATGTTGTGAGAAATTCAGAAGAGCCGTTAAAGGCTCTGGGTGGTAAGAAAGAGCTTCCAAATGACTGGACTACTACAACAACAGTAATTAGAGAGACAGGTATAGGTAGGTAGGTCGCTGGTGACTAGAGCTAGGCGATATTTTAAAAATATCTATATATCTATATATTTAAAAAAAACATTTTTTTGCGATATAAGTTGAGACTCTCGATACAAAACAATATAGTTTTATACTTGAAAATCCTCCTGCTGTCTTCTTTCTCCCACGTGTCCCCCCTTTCTTCTCCCTCCTTGAATACAAACCCGGCCCCTCAGCCGCGCTTCCCTCCTTCCTGCTTCTCCAGGAGGTGGGTGGACGGGAGAGGAGACGTTTAGCACAAGTAAACACGGAAGATAATATGAAGAGCAGCTTAGCTGCTGAACAAAATAAAAAACAATGGCTGTTCTTTTGGAGATGGTTTGGATTTAAATTGTCAGATGAGGGGCAGAAAGATGATTTCTGTAGACTATGCTGAAAACAGTCCCAACGAACGTTTGGAAATACAAATCTTTTTCACCATTTAAAACAGCGAATGGAGTCCGAGTGTGTGTGAAGCTGCAGGTTCGAGTTTTTTATCCTCCTTCCCTGAAACAAACCACGGGTCAGAACTCATTTAGCCGTGCTGTGCCTTTTGAGAGGCACAGAGGGAGGTGGTGACGTTAATAAATCAGCAGTTTATCATATCGCTAAAGACACGGTCCTTAGCGGCTGACACAGCCGCTGAGGCAGACTGAGCGCGGCTGACCGAAATCAGACTGCCTGCTTCGAACTAAACAAGAACACCACACCGCTGAAGCCACGGAGCTCTAATGTTTACAGAGAAGTTGCTAAACTTCATTGTAATTAATGACGAACTGCTATCAGTTGTAGAAAACAAAGGATTTCACGGTTTGATACTTGCAGCCAAGATACAGTTTACCCTCCAGGAGATATTTATCAGTACAACAGTAGACAATCATAAAAAAGCATATGAACTGAAAATTACAAGAAAGTTATATTAAAAAAATGAAACAAAAACGGCTACATTATAAAGCGATGTAAATACTAAAAACAGGAACATGTCTGTTGGTTTATGCCATGAACTTAGCAGATGTTTAAAGCCATTTAATTTTTTTAATTCGTTTAAAAGAAACAAACGAATTCATCAAAAAGAAAAAAAAAAACTGAATGAAAAGAGTGCAGAAAGAAGAAAAAATTCTTATATTATCTTCCCCTTATTAAAAAATAAATAAAATAACTTTAAACAGTCGCTTAAATTAATCACTTTAATATCCACTTTAAAGCTAGGAATAAAAAACACACATGTTTTGTGTTAGAATTTAATTCTAACTTTGAAACGTATCCAACATTAATAAAACTTACCTCAAGTTGCCTTTTTGGACATGCATGCATAGATTTGTACAAATTGTACTTGAGAGATTATTACAGCCACATATAAAATCAATAAGGATGATGATATCAGAAAGGTATTGGTATCGGCCGATATACCGATTTGGGGATCGGGATCGGATTTGAAATAAAAAAATGTGGACCCTAGTAAATAGTTGATTTTTATTTTGACATTTATTTTGTTCAGTTACAGCTGTTGTTAATAAATGTGACAAGTGGGACAAAGCTTTGGCTCAGAAATATTTATTGTTATTACTTTACGGAAACAAAAAAATATCAAGATATATATCGTTTATCACGATTTATCTTAAAAATATTGAGATATTAGTTTTAGTCCATATCGCCCAGCCCTACTACAGCGCACTACAGGATGTGTATGAGGACAGCAGAGCATGGCACATGGTACGGCAACATGCTGATAAAATCTTGGCAGGCAGTTCTTTAGATTAATGTTATTAAAGTCACCAGCCACCACGTAAAGAGTACGTTTGTTCTGCAGTGAGCTAATATTATCATGCAGCTCCTGCAGGGCATCCGTAGCATTAGCATCCGGAGCCATGTAAACATCTGTTATGATCACCGCTGTGAACTTACGGGGTAAATAATGTGGTCGACAGAAGAAGAAGGAAGAAGAAGAAATGTCCTGGAGTGCAACAAAATGTTTTTCTTTTTTAAATTTTATTTTTGTTATTTTTGTTATGAGCAGGTTGTTTGACTCTTATGCCGGTTCTGTTGAGAACTGTCGCTCTGAGGTTCTGCTCAGTCAGTTTGAGGTCTAAACCTGAGTTTGTCCTTTGCTTCTGTTGGACCAGTACCCGTGCTCGTCTCCGGCAGTCTCCATCCGGAACCCTCGTGGACTCTCTGAAGATAAACTCAGCAGGTAACTACAAGTTCTGCTGACCCGGTTCGCTGTCGGACTTCCTTTTCATTTTTCATTTAGCCTTTATTTATACAGGTTAGTCTCATTGAGCCACGAGAACTCATTTTCAAGAGAGACCTGTTTGGGGAGCACATGGTGGGGGTTAAGGGCCTTGCTCATGGGCCCAGAGTGGGGCGAATGAGGGTGGGGGCAAGTGTGGGTATTTCACCTACCCCACTAATGTCCTGTTCTTGATTCCTCTCAGCGTCCAGAAGTGTCTGCAGCTGGAGGCCCAATCGTGGCTCGGCTCTCCAGTGCTGTATCAGCTCATCGAGGTCAGAACCTGAAGCGGTCCTCCTCCGGTTCTTTAAGACATCCTGTGGGTTCCCCCGGCTCATTTGATGTTTTTGTTTTACAGAAAGCAAAAGAAATTCTGACTGAAAGTAACATTCCTCACGAGAACTGTGTCATCTGCCTTTATGGCTTCAAGGTAATCAGTTTGGACCCGTCACAGCCCTGTTCTGGTTGTTTTTGCTGCAGACCGGTTCTTGTTTGTGTTTATCAGGAGGGAGAGGCGTTTACCAAGACCAGCTGCTACCACTACTTCCACTCCCACTGCCTCGGCCGCTACGCCAGCCACGCCGAGCGGGAGCTACGCGTGCGGGAGAAGGAGCTGGAGGAGGACAAGACCCGGGACAGAACTCTGCAGCAGGTCAGAACCCGGCCGGCATGCAGACAGATGTTAACTGAGAGTTGTTCCCTCACGCCGCCTCTTCTGACAGGACCTGACCGTGGCGTGTCCAGTGTGCAGGGAGCCTCTGACCTACGACCTCCGCCAGCTGCTGTCGGCTCCGGCTCCCCAGCTGCCCCAGGTGAACTGGACTCTGCTGCCCCGACAGAAGTGGCGCCGCAGAACTCTGACAGGTGTCGTTCTGTTTCAGCTGGACGAGGCGTCCGTCAGCTCCGACTTCCAGCAGAAGTGGAGGGAGCTGCAGAAGCTTCTGGACAAACAGAGAGCTAAAGGTGGACTCATCGACCCCGAGGAGGAGTCGGCCCGCTTTCTGATCCATATCCAGCAGGTGAGAACTGCTGGAAACAGGTTTTTAAAGGGGTAGTCTGGACATTTCAACATGGGGCTCTCTCAGCCTTCTCACTGTCAGAGGAGGAGGCTGGAGTCAACTCATAATGTTCTGTTTGGTGAAATGTTGGTGCACACACTGTTCCGAGGAAATGTCTCACCAGCATCACAGACATGAAAAGACTTATGAAGTTATAATCAGCAGCTGTCAATCAAATTTGTAGAGGAGATAACAAGCATTTTCAAGGGTCTAATAATAATTATTTCACAATGAATTTATCTTTATTCTTTATCTTGCAGCAGCCCCAGCTGAATGCAGGGAACTCAGAAACGTCTTTGTTTTCTCGAACTACAGACAAGATCATGAAATCTGATCCACATCAAAGCATCAGATTGTGAACATTTGAATAAGATGGTTGGAACCCTTTAACTTTATGCCTATTCATTAGTGATGGGTCCGGCAACACGGATGCATCAGTGCATGCGTTGTGCTCATAGAGCAAAACCTGTGTCGGTGCGCGTATCGCTATTTAGAACGTCACGTGACCGATACAGGAGCTGTTTCGAACTGACACTGACGCACCAAACTATGTTTATAAGCGTATCTGTCAACGGGATGCATCTACCAAAATAATCTTTGATCTTTTGCCGGTCATCTTTAAATTTATCAAGAATTATGAAGCGGCCTCAAACAAAAAAAAAGGTTTCTGTCTTGTGGGACCATTTTGATCTCATATCGGAAAATAAGCTATTTGTTTTAATTTCATTGCTGTTTCATCCTGTTCTTAGTTTCCACTTGATCTGTCTGAATTCAAATTCACATGCGGCTCGCCATACTTTATGGTGGCTCTCGTGGCAGGTTACAACAATACACCAGCACAGCCAGTATATTTTTAAAATGTGCTGGCTCATTACGCAATAATTGCGCATGTCGGCTCGGGCTTCTATGATGCGGTTTCACGAATCATACAGCACAAAGAGGTCTAAATAAAAATGCACAATATAAAATTTTGTTGAGGAGGAGGCAGGTCGAAGGGCCTGGCATGTGAAAGAAGTCCCAGATGCATCCAGGGTAAACTCAGGTATACAACCATTCTACAACTTACAGTTGCTTTATTGATTATTAATTCCTATTAATTTATTCGTTCTCATTTCTAACCATCAAGCTTCCAGGAAGCAGATGCTGGATGAGGCTCTGCTGAATTTCAGCCTGAAGGACTGCCAGCCCCTCATGCTTATTACTTTTTACAAAAAAAATTTGTAAAAAAAAAAAAAATCCCAGTTTACAAGCATCCTCCTTCACAGCACGTTCACTTATATTTTCACATTACGATACATGTTCACATTATTCATTGACTGTATCTAAAAAAATCAAAGATATTTTAAATTTAAATGAACGTGTGAAACAATATAAAATACAATGACTTAAATCATATTATTGTAGTAGGTCATTAAATCGGTGTCAGTTGAGTCAGTCAAATAAGTTGCCTGTAGGGATTTTTAAGTTCCAGCAGGTGTCGGTGTGCAGTGACACAGTGTCGATACAGTTTGACAGTGTGTTGAAACGCTTCATGACGCCTCATCGACCCATCACTACTATTCATGTTCCTCGGGGAAAATCTACCTCCTTATTTAACTGACTAAAAATACTAGTTTTAAATAACAAAGTTCATGCTCAATAATCCAGGTCCAGGTCGATGGTCAGTCAGAGTAGATATGAAATTGCCTGTTATTGAGAAGGCAGCTCTGAGCAGTTTATGTCTTAGCTGCTGTAGATGGCTCTTTGAACAACCTCAGCTAAGGTGTGTCTCCTCCCACAGAGTTCACCTGACACTGAAAATGAAAACCCGGAGATTGATGTCTCTCCTGGATCTTCCAGCTCTAATGAAGCCGGTGTCAACGCGGAGCGGTCCAATCCGGGACGGTCTCAGCGTGGAGGCGTTATGGGTCAGGTTCAGGGGAGGGGACTAAGAGGAGGCAGGTCCAGAACCCACCAGGGCAGGGCTGCCCCTGTCACAGAGCGGTTGGAGAGCCTCTACGTGTCCTCAGACCACACCGAAGAACCAGTAAAAACCAAATCTCAGGACCAACCGGTCCAGCAGAACCCAGACTGGTTCCGGGCCAGAGCGGGGACAGATATCTGTGCAGAACAACAGGAGAGGTGGGTTTCTCCAAACCACCGGGCCAAGTTGGATCTGGAAACGGACGGAACAACTTCTACAGGAGACCACGGACACCACGGAAGGAGACGAGGCCCTCGCAGACCCATCCCACACGCCGGGGCTCCAAGACCTTCACATCACCGCTGGGACGGCCGAGGCTCCAGGAGCCGGGGAGGACCCAGCAACCCGCGGGGCCCCCGGCGAGGTCATCAGGACAGGGGCTTTCAGCAGAAGGTGGTGGAGCATGGAAGAGGGGAAATGGTATGACAAAGGGCCACAGGAGGGTGTATGAAGACGTGCCATCAAAGCCCTGCAACAGGAGGAACTGTCTCTGTGGTCTCCTCACCTCCTGTCTCTGCAGTCGTCTCCTCACCTCCTGTCTCTGCAGTCGTCTCCTCACCTGTTGTTGCAATGTCTTCTACAGAACTACAAATTAAACTTTCTCTGGATGTTATTGTGTGTGTCCATGTTTCCACTTTAATGTTTCAATTGTTTTCTTTAATGGTGTGTAGAGTTTTGGTGTTTTTTTTTTTTTTTCTTCCCTAAAATCTGAGTACAAAACAGTTTGTAGTACCATAAAATATATCCTGATGGATGCTCAATAATCCAGGTAGAAAAATCCAAAAAAGTTCAATCTGGTCCTCTGGACATTCAAAATGTTGAATGTCCAGAGGACCAGATTGAACTTTTTTGGACCATAAAATATAGTTCAGAGGAGCTTAAACTTGACTAAACTTGTTTACTGTTGCCTTTTATCCTCACCATAGGAAGATATTCACACGGCTGCTACAAAACATGAAACGTAAGTGAACAGAAAAACTACGTTTAAAAAAAAAAAAAAAAAAAGTACTGTCCTGACCGCAGAGACTTCTGGGAGATGTAGTAAAACTGAAAAAGTACTGTCCTGACCGCAGAGACTTCTGGGAGATGTAGAACTAAAAAAATAAAAGTACTGTGCTGGCCGCAGAGACTTATGGGAGATATAGTTTTCTGTTGAAGGGGCGGTTTCTTGTGACGCCATCTTGTTTTGAGTCCAGCCCCCTTTGTAAACTGCGCAGCTTGCAGGGCTCGGTATGACTGGCGGGAATTCGTTTCTTAAGACCTACTGTCCCAACAAGGAGTCCGAGCCCAGGATGGACGTGGACATGGACTCGAGTCGAACCGAAAGTGAGCGGGGAGATCTGGACAACAGTCTCCCGGCTCCGTGCTCCTCAAACGGCAGCGGTGGAGAGGAGGACGAAGTGGAGAGCCTGGGCAGGCCGAGGCAAGCCGGGGTCTCGAGTAATCGGCTTACCCCGAACGGAGGCGTGGTTCTCAGCGGCAGGGAGCAGGAGGTGTCTGTGGAAATCGGAGAAACGTATTTGTGTCAAAGAGCGGATAAAACATGGCGTGAGTAAAAGTCATTTGTGTTTCACTCTGAAGAAAATGATCTAGAATTAATCTTGTTTTCAATACAAAGATATATTTTGAGCAGTTTCCGTTAATTTGAAAGCATTATGAATCAATTGTTGTTGTTTTTTTGTTTGTTTTTTTAACATACCGTTAATAAATAAATAAAACTGTTTTTGACACGAATTTTGTAAAACTCGTGTCATAAACAAAGTTTAGAGTTATTCAGTTTTCTCATCTTTTTAGTTTATTACAGTCCAGTCAGTTAAAAATCCAAATTGCTGACTTTGTAATAAAAACAATGCAGAAAATCAAAAATGTTTAATTTGTTTCTGGACATCAGCTGGTGTTTCACATCCACCCACCCATCATCTTCCTCTTGTTCTGAAGTCAGGTCTCCGGGCACCTGCTTGATCAGGGAGGTCCAGACATCTCTTTCCACAGCCACCTCTTCTCTTCTGGTGTAGAGTTGCATTTGGACCCAAAAAAATCTGATCCGACCCGGTCCCAGCCCGCAGCCACCATCTCCGAACCCCACCTGACCTGACGAATTAACAATTACTGTTCCGAACCCGGAAACCCCCCCAACATTTTTAATTAGTTATTAACGTTCGGGGATGCTCAACTGAATAAAAGAGACAGAAGATCGGAGCTGAGGGGGTGTTTGTCATTTCATGCCGTAAAAAAGCATTTAAACCCTGTTTTTCTGCATCTGAATTACTGAGACACGCAGACTGCTCTGACACGCTTCTGCTTTGGGATACACCTGTCTTCGGGGACGCGCAGCTGTAAGGTGCATAAGATTCGGAGCTGAGGACATTTAAACCCTGTTTCTGCCTGCATTCTGATTTATTCACAGACCCTGCTCTGACACGTCTGCTTTGGGATCTCACCTGTTTGGGTCGTCGGCCGCGCATGTCCGCTGAGTCGCGGCCTGATGGACAAACTACTCACACTAACAACTAAGCCCCTCCATTTGCAACTGGGTCCTAGACTTCTTAACAAACAGACCACAGTCTGTGAGGATCCACAACTTCTCTTCCTCCACCATAACCCTCAACACTGGCTCCCCTCAGGGATGTGTTCTGAGCCCTCTCCTGTTCACTCCGCTCACGTATGATTGCGCACCTACTCATTCAGGCTGTCATATTGTAAAGTTTGCAGATGATACAGCAGTGGTGGATGCATCACAAACAACGATGAGTCCAGCTACAGGCAGGAGGTGGAACACCTGAAGAGCTGGTGCAAGGAGAATAACCTTCACATCAGTGTGAAGAAAATGAAGGAGATGGTCATGGACTCAAGAAGGAACAAACACGCCTACTATCCCTCACCCCCACTCGAATATAAGAGGATCTGCGATGGAAGTGGTCTCCAGAATCAGAATAAGCTTTATTGTCATTGCACCGAAATACAACAAGAACATGTACGTACAGCCATCCGAAAGATGGACGTAGTGCACAGAGCTGCTACTAGGGCATTAACAGAGTACTCGAGTAATCTACACATCGATTGCTAGGACATCAATCGAGGTTAAAAATGTAAAGTCGGGTATCCGTAGTGACGTCATATTATGTGACCACGTATGACCGCAGGGGGCGGTGTTGCACTGTTGCAGGTCACAGAGTATGGTGTAACACCGGGTCCAATCCACCAGAACCAGTTTCGGTTTAAGTTTCGTTTTTGACGTGCTGCGTTTCTTCACGTTTGCAGTTTAATAATAATAACTAATAGTTTAGTTTTTCCTGTGACTTATTTGCAGTATGATAAATGGTAGGAGCATAATATACGCTCCCAATGTTTTGTTGGTCTTGTTTTTTGTAAATAATTACCTTTTTTTGCAGTTTTATTTATTTATTTATTTTTGTATCTTGAGATCCATCACAAGTACATGGCCTTGGGGAAGGGAGGGGTGAGAAGACGGACAAAGCATCTTTGTTTTTCCTGAACATGCCAGGAGGAATTGAGATAAGTCCGCCGTCAAGGCCACAGTTTGGGTCAGGCAGAACTCGTAAATTGCAGTTTCTGCTTTTTCAAGTCTCGCTGGTACATTTCTCTGATGGTGACTCCAAACAGCTGAATTGATTCCTTATGTCAAAAGTCAAGCTTTCAGCTTCTCCAAGATTATTCCCACCATTCATGGGTGCTGCCAGAAAGTTCACAGTCCTCAAAACAGCCTGCTCCACCTCTCTGACGCAGCTCCACATAATTCAGTCTGAGTGCTGCCAAGCTTCGACACATCCACATGAATTTGTAGACAATCTAGGTTTCACCAACCCAAACAGCAGAACCCAGTTGTCATCATGAATCCAATTTTTTTCCGTTGAGGTAAGAGGGTCCTCCTTACCCTGACTCCCGTCGGGAGAAGTATATCAGTTTTGTTGAGAGACCAGCTGATCAAAATCCTTCGAATTAGGAAGGTATGCAGGAAAAAAAAAGGCTCTTGAAGGGTTCAGAAAACGAAAGAGAGCAAAGCAGGGAAGCGGGACGGAGCAGAAGAGGGCATGACTGTCTTCACCGGAGCACAGAGAGAGGAAAAAAGCTACAAGTACTTGGGTGTGCACCTGAATGACAACCTCAGCTGGGGCAACAACACCAGCCTGATCAAGAAAGTTCATCAGAGACCTTACTCAGGCGGCTGAGACGAGCTGGTCTGGGAAGCTCAGTCCTCACCTCCTCCTACAGGTGTGCAGTGGAAAGCATCCTGTGCTCCAGCATCAACGTGTGGCATGGAGGCTGCACAGCTGCAGAAAGAAAAGCTTTGCTGCAGAGAGTGGTGAAGGCTGCACAGAAGACTGTTGGAGTCAGTCTCCCCACCATCACAGACATCTACACCTCTAGATGCAGGAAGAGAGCCACCTGCATCATGAAGGACCCCACTCACCCAGCACACACACTTTTTGCCCTGCTCCCCTCAAGAAGGAGGTTGAGGAGCATTAAGTGTAGAACCACTAGACTGAGTAACAGCTTCTACCCTGAGGCTGTTAGACTCATGAATCTCTAACAGGATAATCACTGAAAAATCACATCATGCTGCTGCTGATCTGTTTCATGTTGCTGCTGATCTGTTTCATGATGCTGTGTTCATGCGTGCTCATCTGCTCACACAGACTCATGTTCATGCTGCTGTTTGATGTAATGTTTTTATGCTATTAGTGCTTAGTGCATATTTAGTTGATGTTTTTCTTAAATCTTATTACCGTTGTTATTTTACATATTGTTGGATGTAATTGGGACCCTGTGTACATAATCTCGTTCCACCACATGTACCACTTGAGATGCTAATGACAAATAAATCTCTCTGACTCTGAATAATCTGTGTTGAATTCCTTCTTTTATGAAACTACAGCCCCCTCCCTTACCCTCTTCTCCATCTTGTCATATTAGTACCCATATATCCCATTACAAAATCTGATTTAGAATTAAGCCATGTTTCCTGGATGCAGATTATGTCTGGTGCTATTTTTAATGAACCCTTTAAATTCCTGTCCGTTTGCGATCAAACTTCTGGCGTTCCACTGTAAGATGATCATATGGTCCTCTCCCCTGGTGTTCCAGGTTCTCCCCCAAGTGTTGTGTTAATGTGTTCCCATGTTATGTCTTTTATCCCCAAAAACTTCTCTGCTCCTTTCACAATGATCTGAAATTTTTTCTGTTTTGTTTGACTTGGTCTGTGCAGTTGATGAACATGATCTTTTCTAGAGTGACCTCTGAGTCTGGGTTTGTTTCTTCCATCTGTCTTTGACTTGGTGTTACTACTTGTTGAACTCTTACAGTTTCTGCTCTAACTTTCTGTTCTTGTATTTTTTTTTTACAGCTTCTGTGTAACTGATGTTGTTAATTGCTTTCACTTGGATTTCCACTGCCTTCTTTCTAGCCTCACAGCCCCATATGTCACCCTGTTCTGTCCTTCACAGTCGCAGCACTTGTCTCGAGTTTTCTTCATATTTGTGGTTTCCTCCACATCTTGGGTGCATTTTGCTGTCCTGCACACTGCAGCTTTGTGTCCATATCTACGACACTTGTAGCATCTGACAGGAGGAAGAACGAAGGGTCTGACTGGAAAACTTAAAAATCCAATTTTAATTCTTTCTGGGAGTTTGTCCACTTTAAACTCGAACATCATCGACAACCTTGGAACTCCATTCATGTTTCTTGTTAATTTTGTTGCTTTGTTGATTTCAAATTCAGTCCAATTAGATCCCAGTGATCACGCCCCTCGTTATTTTATTTTCTCCTATTATTTTTCTTTCTCACATTCTTTTTTACAGATATTATCAATATGCATGACTATTGGTCTGCTCTTCGGTTTTTACAATTATCAGCAGATTTCCATCTCTAAGGAGTTTTGTGAAGTGTATTTCTCCGACTTTCTTTTTTAGATCTCTTGACACCACAATGGGGCCTAACTGTGTTTTTCCATCTTCTTCTTTGAATTTTAGAATTATTTTAAACTCTTACAACTTTTTTGCTCACATTATTGCTTCCCTCATCTGAACTTATTTCCTCTAAAGTTCGTTTTGCATTGACAACCCAATTTTTTTGCTTGGTTTTTGCTCACCCTCTTCCATTCATTCATGTTCATGTTTTCTTCGTCTGCTTGAGTCGCCATTCCAGCCCAATCCAAAAAGTTTGTTCTCACGATTGACTTGTTTGAGAGTCGTGGCCTTAGCTCCAAACGAACACATCGCTCCTGTCACAAGCTACCAACTGCACGGATTGTCACCCTGTGCCTTCTCCTCCTCTCTCTCCCCAGCTGGTGCTTCACATGTTCTTTAAATTTAGCTGTTTTTTTTTTCATTCAACCTTTATTTCTACATGTTAGTCTCGTTGAGTCACGAGGACTTATTTTCAACCGAGACCTGTTTTAGACAGACGACAGTAATTCAACAAAAAGCAATTTAAATCAAATCAAAGTAGTTGTAGAAACAGTCAAATGAAGGTGCCATATAAAAATGAACTGGATGTTGGAGACAGAAGCTCTGGTTTTTGTCTCGGCGTTGTGTCCTCAGGAAGTCTTTTTTAAATGCAGGGGTCAACAAACAGCTGTGTGAAAGTGCATTTAATTCAATTCGGTTTATTTACAAAGCGCCAAATCACAACAAAGTTGTCTCAGGGCACTTTACAGGAACATTCACATACATAGAAAAGACAGTTAGTAAAGTTTTCTAAGCAAGCAGCAGACTCGATGAATCTTCACTTCGTCGCAGTCTCCCATCCAGGTTAATGTTGGTTCTCTGGTTCATCCCTTGAGTTATGAACCTGTCTGTGTGACTGAGGTGTTCCTCGGAAAGTTGGCAACCAGGACACACAGAGGACAAGCTCTGAAAGTTTCTGTTAAATGTTCAGCTATGTTGATGCAGATCCTTCCTGAGTAAAGATGATGAAATGTTTTTCAGACACAGCCGAGGTGATTCAGTCTCGCCTGAACGAGCAGGAGGGTCGGGAGGAGTTCTACGTTCACTACGTGGGCTGTAAGTCGTCCCCCCCCCCCCCCCCCCCCCGGTCCCCCCCAACATGGGTTTGACCTGCTGTAGCTGCAGGAGGACTCATGTCTCTGGTCTGCAGTCAACAGGCGGCTGGACGAGTGGGTGGGTAAATCCCGCCTGGCTCTCACCAAGACGGTGAAGGATGCAGTGAGGAAGAGCAGCGAGGTGGGAGGTGTCGGGGATCTGGGTGAACAGCCGGAGAGGAAAATCACGCGCAACCAGAAGAGGAAGCATGATGAGATCAACCACGTACAGAAGGTGGACATGCTTGTTTACAGCCGTGCTCGTGTGTTTTCTTTTATAACGAGCTTTTCTTTTCAGACGTACGCAGAAATGGACCCGACGACGGCGGCGCTGGAGAAGGAGCACGAGGCGGTGCGTTTTCATCGTTGTGACAGAAATATCCTGACGCTTTTAGTTTTGGGTCCAACAGGTCCATCTTCTTCCCCTCAGATCACCAAAGTGAAATACGTGGATAAGATCCAGATTGGGAACTTTGAGATCGACGCCTGGTACTTCTCCCCGTTCCCTGAAGATTATGGCAAACAGCCCAAACTGTGGATCTGCGAGTACTGCCTTAAATACATGAAGTACGAGAAGACCTTCAGATATCACCTGGTGAGTCTGTCAGAATAAACAGCATCTTACCTGCAGTGGGTGTTATGTTGAACCCTTTCCTCTTCAGTCTCACTGTCAGTGGAGGCAGCCTCCAGGAAAAGAGATTTACCGAAGGAGCAACATCTCAGTGTTTGAGGTGGACGGGCGAGACCACAAGGTGAGCTCACCTGGCCGTGGAACCGTTCTTCACCTGGAACCTTGGTTTACAGGAGTGCTTGTTTTTGTCTGTCTGCAGATCTACTGTCAGAACCTGTGCCTACTAGCCAAGCTGTTTTTAGACCATAAGACGCTTTATTTTGACGTGGAGCCGTTCATCTTCTACATCCTGACTGAAGTCAACAAACAGGGAGCGCACATTGTCGGCTACTTCTCCAAAGTAAGCCTCGCTGCCGGCTGCTGCACCGTTCACACCACGATAAGATGTGTACGCTGGTAGATCGTAGTAAAACCAAGCCCGGTTCTGTATTCATGTTCAAACCAGAACTGTCCCATTTTAAACAGTAAAAATCAAATGTCCATAAAGAGATATCCTGATGCATGCTCAATAATCCAGGTAGAAAAATCTAAAAAAAAAAACTTGTCAGTTCCTCTGAACGTTCAAAAAACAAAACGATTGTAGAAACGTTTCGTCTTTCATCCAAAAGGCTTCTTCAGTCTGAGGTGCTGTGTCCATAAAGATATTAACCAGAACATTGTCTTCGAATCGGCCTTTAATTTCTTTATTGTTTGCGTTTGCTTCAGATTATTTAGCTGCAGTTCAGCTTCTGTTTCTGCAGGAAGTCCTCTTTGGAGGAGCACACTCTGCATTTCTGAGCATTGATTCTGCAGAAGCTCTAACTCCGCCTTTGTCCTTCAGGAGAAGGAGTCTCCGGACGGGAACAACGTGGCATGTATCCTCACGCTGCCGCCTTACCAGCGCCGAGGCTACGGGAAGTTCCTCATCGCGTTCAGTACGTAGGAGAGCTGAAACACAAAATGTCCGAATCATTAACGTGTCTCAGAAGTTTCTTCGGCCTCGTACCGCCTGAAGTCTTGTAAAACGTGTTTTCATCTTTCAGGCTGGTGTGCCCGTGTTGTCACTTTTATTTTTTCAGGTTTAACTTGGAAGTTTTTTTTTCCTGGCGCTCACCTGACATTTGCATTCGTCACCATATTATCAGAGATGTTGAGAATCTATGCTCCTCCATCAGGTTGGATTGGCTGCAGAAACTTGGTGTCCTGTATTTCAGGTTACGAGCTGTCGAAGCTGGAGAACTCGGTGGGTTCTCCAGAGAAGCCTCTGTCTGATCTGGGCAAACTGAGCTACAGGAGTTATTGGTCCTGGGTCCTGCTGGAGATCTTGAGGGACTTCAGAGGAACGCTGTCCATCAAAGACCTCAGGTGAGGACTGTGACGAGCAGAAGTGTGTAGCTTCAGAACCTTGCATGTTCTTCCAGGAAGAGCTGGTTTAGCACCGCTGTCTGTTAAAATCAAATCATGTTCCGTGAAAAACTCTGAAGCTTTCTGTGTGTAAAAGTGCTTTGGTCATACAAGTACACGTTTATTACTGTAATTTCCAATCTATAGAGCGCACCCGAGTATAAGTCGCGGTGGCCACGTAATATCAGAAGATGCACAGTTCCTGGTAGAGCTGACATTTCCAACCCGGAGCCCGGCTCCACCTGTACTGGATTAGGACCGGGCCGGGCCATAATAATGTGCGGGCCGGGTCTGTGTCTGGCTTTTGATTGCATCAGCGGATGCACGTGACTGACAGTCCAGTTGTATGTCAACATGGCTTGCCATACATTCACCCACGCACGCAGCCATTTGACCGCGCGCTGACCGGCCTTGAAAGAGGTAAAAAGTTCAGTTAAGCTTCAGATGAACTACTGCCAGCGATCCATCACCCAAATGGACGTTCAGTTCAATTCAAATTCAAAAAAACTTTATTAATTCCAAAGGGAAATTAAGTGTTGTTGTAGTTCATCATTCTTGTTTAATTCAAGAGCTGTTGTAGACGCTGATAGCTGTGGGCAGAAAGGATCTCCTGCAGCGAAGCCAAAGAATCTGTTCACAGATACCAATCCGTCCACCTGGATCCAGCTTGCTGTCGTATCCGACGGGCCTCTCATTCCTCCTGGGCAGCAGGACTGCCCGAATGCCGGGTAGAATTCCTCCCTGAGCAATGGTCACTCCTCCCAGCAGTTGACCGAGCTGAGCTCCTTGTTGCAACAGACAGACAGCTGAAGGTGCTGAGGATGATCCCGGTCCTCCCGTTGTCATGAGCTGAGTTCCTCACTAGCTCCAGGATCTTGGCGGTCAGGTACTCGAGCACTGCCGCCAGGTTAACAGGAATTCATCCACTGTGCCTCCTTTTCAACTCATTTGGGATTTGGGGCTGTAGTTGAGGTATTATTTGAGCTTTTGAGATGTTAATCAGCTGCTCCTGGTTGTTAAACACCTTGTTGCCATGGTTACGCATCCTAACAAATGCCCAAAAGTAAAAAGTTTTCATTAAAAATCCTTCCAGCTGCACAGCATCCGATACCAGAGGAAACAATCATTCAAAGCGATTTACATCCAGAAAAACAGGAATCAAATTTTTTTTCAAAAGCAATAAATCAGAATGAATGTAACAGAGCTACTCCAACATGCAGCCACCCCGAGCAGCGCAATTCTAGAATATTCATTCAGCTGCTGCATTCAGCAGACGTGCGTGGCCGACGACCCAAACAGGAGAGATCACAAAATATCCGACGTGTCAGAGCAGGGTCCAGTGCAGGCAGAAGCAGGGATTTAATGCACTTTGTCGGCCATGAAAGCACAAACATCCCCTCAGCTCCGATCTTCTGCCCTCTTTATTCAGCTGTGCGCATCTGTGACGTTAATAACTATAAGCAGCCGAAGCTTAATTTAAAATGAGAGGGGAGGGGTTTCGGGTTTGGACCTGTAATTACTGTTAATTTGTTGGATCAGATGGGGTTTGGAAATGATGGCTACGGGCTGGGGCGGGTCGGATTTTCTGGACCTAAATGCAACTCTAGTTCCTGGTAGAATATGCAGCACTCGTAGTAAAAGAATCGACCACCAGATGGCGATTCATAGATTCAGCAACACTGCTGATCCTCACAGATCTTCGTGAGAACACGCTCTCGGACTCATGGTTACTCTACTGCCGGGCTATTCAACTGGGGGCCCGGAGGTCAAATCAGGCTCATGGGTGAGCTCAGTTTTGCCCACCAGTGGGTTCATTTTTAAATAAAACTTGATTTTAGTATAAACCCTACCTTCCATCCATTATTATGGGGAACGTCCGCTCGCTGGTAAATGAGACGGACGAACTAACGGCACCCATCAGGAGCCAGCCTGTGTTTCGGGAAGCTTCATTGGTGTGTTTCATGGAGACTTGGCTGTGTGACAATATTCCAGACTCTGCAGTGAATGTAGCTGGCTTTCACTGTGCACCGCGGGCCAGAGCTGCAGAGAAAGCGGCAAGCAGAAAAGAGGGTGTCGCGATTTATGTTAACAACAAATGGTGCAACCCCCCAACATATCACGATGAAGGAGCGTGTCTGCAGCCCGGATATTGAACTGCTAGCAATCCGTCTCGGGCTCTTTACGTTGTAGCCGGAGACTTTAACCACGTGAATCTAAAGGACTGTCTCCCAAGCTTTAATCAGCATGTGACGATTCCGACACGTGGAGACCGCACGCTGGACCGTGTTTACACGAACGTAAAAGATGCATACAAAGCCGAACCCCGCCCCCACCTAGGACTGTCAGACCACATCTCAATCTTCCTGGCTCCTGCTTACATGCCCCCGCTGAGACGCTCCAGACCGGTTCAAAAGAAAGTTAAATGCTGGATCCAGGATAGTGGCCCCATACTGAGAGATTGTTTTGATCGAACAGACTGGCAGGTTTTCAGAGAAGCTGCTGAAAATGGAGGTTCGCTTGATCTTGACCAATACACATCCTCAGTACTGGGTTACATTAGTACATGTACTGACACAGTCTCCACTATCAGAAATGTTAAAAGCTACCCAAACAGAAAACCTTGGCTGAATGCAGAGGTGCGTACCCTGCTGGAAGCCAGGAACACTGCCTTCAGGTCTGGAAACTCAGAGGAGCTGAGTAGGACAAGAAAAGAGCTGGTTGCTGGTATTAAGAGGGCCAAGGCCACATATGCAAAGAGGATCGAGGGTCAATTCATCTCACAAGACCCTCGGAGCATGTGGAGGGGCATTAAGTGCATAACAGATTATAAAGGAAGGAGTGAACAATGTCCCAAAGACCCATCTCTGCCTGATGCCCTCAACAAGTTCTATGCACGCTTTGAAGACCCGAACAGACCACCCAGCACCAGACTCACCTCACTACCGGATGAAGAGCATCTCAGCGTGACCTCAGCAGAAGTAAGGAGTACCTTCAGGAGGATTAATCCGCACAAAGCAACTGGCCCAGACAACATCCCCGGAAAAGTGTTGAAGGAATGTGCTGATCAGCTCTGTGAGGTGCTGGCAGACATCTTTAACACCTCACTTACCCTGGAGACAGTTCCCACCTGCCTGAAGACTGCCACCATCATCCCAGTCCCAAAAAGCTCTACAGTGACTGGTCTGAATGACTATCGGCCAGTGGCCCTCACCCCGATAGTTGCTAAATGCTTCGAAAAACTGGTCATGACTCACATCAAAACAACCATCAACATCAACGAGGACCCTCATCAGTACGCATACCGTGAGAACCGATCAACAGAGGATGCCATCTCCTCTGTGGTCCACACTGCACTCAACCACCTGGAGCAGAAAAACGCTTACGTCCGTATGCTCTTTGTGGACTTCACATCCGCCTTCAACACCATGATCCCCCAAACCCTGATGGACAAACTATCCACACTAGGACTAAGCCCCTCCATCTGCAACTGGGTACTAGACTTTTTAACAAACAGACCACAGTTAGTGAGGATCCACAACCTCTCCTCCTCCACCATAACCCTCAGCACTGGCTCTCCTCAGGGATGTGTGTTGAGCCCCCTCCTGTTTACTCTGCTCACATATGATTGTGCAGCTACCCATCCAGGCTGTCACATTGTAAAGTTTGCAGATGATACAGCGGTGGTGGGATGCATCACAAACAATGATGAGTCCAGCTACAGGCAGGAGGTGGAACACCTGGAGAGCTGGTGCAGAGAGAATAACCTTCACATCAATGTGAAGAAGACAAAGGAGATGATTGTGGACTTCAGAAGGAACAAAAACACCTACACCCCCCTGAACATAAGAGGATCTGCGGTGGAAGTGGTCTCCAGCTACAAGTACTTGGGTGTACACATGAATGACAACCTCAGCTGGAGCAACAACACCACCAGCCTGATCAAGAAAGCTCATCAGAGACTCTACTTCCTCAGACGGCTGAGGCGAGCTGGTCTGGGAAGCTCAGTCCTCACCTCCTTCTACAGGTGTGCAGTGGAGAGCATCCTGTGCTCGAGCATCAATGTGTGGCATGGAGGCTGCACAGCTGCAGAAAGAAAAGCTTTGCAGAGAGTGGTGAAGGCTGCACAGAAATCTGTTGGAATCAGTCTCCCCACCATCACAGACATCTACACCTCCAGATGCAGGAAGAGGGCCACCTGCATCATGAAGGACCCCACCCACCCAGCACACACACTTTTTGCCCCACTCCCCTCAGGAAGGAGGTTAAGGAGCATTAAGTGTAGAACCACTAGACTGAGGAACAGCTTCTACCCTGAGGCTGTTAGACTCATGAATCTCTAACTAGAATAATCACTGTGAAAAACCATATCATGTTGCTGCTGATCTGTTTCATGTTGCTGCTGATCTGTTTCAATGTTGATGTGTTCATGCGTGCACATCTGCTCACAGACTCATGTTCATGTTTGTGCTGATGTTCAATGTTTTATGTTATGAGTGCTTAGTGTATATTTAGTTGATGTTTTTCTTAGTTCATATCTTAGATGTTATTACTGTTTTTCTTATACATTTTATTGTTGGATGTAACTGGGACCCTGTGTACATAATTTCGCTCCACCACATGTACCACATGAGGTGCGAATGACAATAAAGAAACTCTGACTCTGACTCTCTGATGTTGTCTCCCACTTAAGTTTCCACACGCCATAATTCTGTGTTTACATTCCTCCAATTGCTGAAGCGTCGTGGGCTGCACGATTACCTGCAGTGTTCCCTCAGTGAGGACTGAACTTGGCAAAAGGGCCTTCTCCTACTCCGCTCCTGTTTCCTGGAATATCTTGCAAAAAGATCTGAAGCTCTCGACCATTACCTCTCTAAGTGGCTTCAAACATCTGAAGTTCCTGCAAAAACCAATGCAGACATGTTCCTGTTTTTAGTTTTCTACATCGCCTTATAATCTAGTTGTCTTTTTGCTACTTTTGAGTGACCTTTTAGTTGCCATTTTATTTTAACTTGTTAAAACAAAAATAATAATACATTTGTACGCATCCTTTATGACTGTCTATTTTTGTCGTTGTTGTCCACTGTTGTCATCACTCTTTGTCTCTCTTTATCAGGTCTCTCTTGTAAATGAGTCCCCGAGGCTCAGTGGGGTTAACCTGTAGAAATAAAGGTTGAATAAAAACCAATCCACCCGCAGGTGGAGCAGTGGGCAGCTATTGAAAGCGTCCGCCGAGCAATTGGGGGTGTGCTGCTCACCGTATGCAGAATTTTAAAAAAAAATCTTTTATTTAAATATGCACCAGTAACATACACAAAATAGACTACGTGCACTATTTTTTTTTCCTGAACAATGCCTTTAACACAGTTGGTTAAAAAAAAAATCTGATGGAATTTTCCGCTGTCCATGCGTGAGTGACTGAAAGTTTGTTTCCTCATAGTCTGGAGGGAGCAGCTGACAGTTGTTCATGTCCTGATGGTGGACAGTCCTTTTTGTCTCATAAATCAGACACCACAATTGTCCATCTTTAAAATGGCTTTCAGTCAGATCTGCACGGTGGAAGAGTGTTCTCTGTCTCCGTCTGCTCTCTGCTCACCCAGCCCCCTCCCCATTTCAGATTAATTTTTTTTGTTTGTTTAAACTGGTAGTCTGATCACTGCACGGCTCTCTTGGCGGTTGGGTCCTGGTGACTCAATTAGAGTACGGTACTTTAATGGTCATTTGTCATTGACTTCTGGTCACATGGCCACAGAGTGGGTTTATGGGTAAAATATGTGTTCATTGTTAGTTTTTAATTATTAGTTAGCTGTTTTACCATTGTTTGTTTAGTGATTAGTCTGTAGTGTATTCTTTTATCATGTGTTAGTCTATTCAGTTGCATATTGTAACCATGAGTGAGTCATGACGAGCTGCGCTGTTCACTCTGTCACGAAGACCCGCCCCCAAGAGGGGTTTGTGTTGGGCACCCGTGTGTGCTAAAGTAAAATGTTTTTCAGCGGCAGGAAGCCCATTAGTCTGTCAACATAAAATACAAAAATATCAATTTTTTTTATCCATAAATAAGGCGCAGCATTGTATAAGCCGCAGGGTTGTCTGTGAAAAAAGTAGCAGCTTATACTAGGGGTGCGAATGTCTGTGTCTGGCGAGTCGATTCAGTTCCAATTTTTGGTGTCACGATTTGATTCAAGATCGATTTTTTTTTTTTCTTCTTCCCAATTCAGAAACTATTTTTCTATTGAAATGGTCATAAATTTTGTTTCAATTATGTAACTGACAAGCTGAAAAGAATAAACAACAATGTAAACAAATAGAACATTTATTTAAAGCAATAGTTTTAGGTTCTTTACTGTATCGAATCTTTTTGCATCATTCCAATTTATATCAAAAATAGGAACAAATGTAGGAGTGCATATTATTCTGTAACACAAATTATCAGTATTAGGTTAGCTTAGTTGCCTGGATTTTAAAAATAAATAAATAAAAATCTAGGAACAAATAATTCATCCATCCATCATCCTTTATCTTTACCCACTTCCTTTTCAGGTCACAGGGGTCACCGGTGCCCATATCCAACTATCACTGTGCGAGAGGCGGGGGACACCTGGACAGGTCTCCAGTCCATCACAGACAAATAATTCAAAATATATAATTACAAAAGTAAACAGACTTCAGCCTACCATAGTACATTAACCTTTAACTCAAAATACAATACAGACTGCACAGTTTTTTTTTAACCGTACTGCTTGAACATTTGCTTTGTTTTCAAAACTTAACCTAATATGAAATATACAGGCTTCACAGTCTTAACCATATTGATTCTGATTTGGTAAATCTTCAACAAAAACTCTTCTTGGTTTGAAGGGTTCCGTGCGTTTCTGCATCCGCTGAAGTCCCTGTAGTAAGCGCCAAACTTTTTCTGATTAAATCACAAATTTCCCTCTAGTATTTCCTTAGAAGGAAACGGCTTCTGGGCGGGGCCCTGTTGGCTTCTGGGAAATGTAGTTGTTATGAGTGGGGATACAGTGTTGGCTTACTGAGAGAAAACTACAAAATGGCGGTGCCTGTCCCAAGTACTTTATTTTTTTCGTTAACTTTTTACTGTACAGTATCCAGTACCGTCCCAATCACCTGAGTAATATTAAAGATGACCATCATGTGTCCTGTACAATTTTATTTTATTTTTTCGTGTCTAATCTTACTTTGAAAAACCGCAAAAGAGCAAGTCCATGAAAATCTTAACTGCGAAGTAGCGAGGGACTACTGTACTTTGGTCAGTTATACAAGTACGCATTTGTTAAGTACTTTTTTTTTTTTGTAAAATCTTGAAAGATTGCGTATCGCCCGACACCACAGACCTCAGTGCTCCGTTAGCCCTCAGTGTGTCAAGATGACTGTCAGCTACTACCACAACAAACTACAGCTCAACGTGAGCCGGTCAGAGCTACGGTTGATTAGCTGTGGAGGCCATTTTGAATCATAATGCTTTCTCTAAGTTCCATAAAATGTATTTTATTGGTTCCTGTCTGGCAGGCGATCATGTAAACCATGTCTGTGTTTAAATAAACGCTCCAAGACTCCTGTTCCATCAAATCAACTCAATCTTACCAAACTCACCTGAACGGTTTTTGTTTTCCCATGTCCTGGTCCGGTTCTACAGCCAGATGACCAGCATCACTCAGAGTGACATCATCAGCACGCTGCAGTCTCTCAACATGGTGAAGTACTGGAAGGGCCAACACGTCATCTGCGTGACGCCCAAACTGGTGGAGGAGCACCTGAAGAGCGCCCAGTACAAGAAGCCCCCCATCACAGGTAGGTGCGCCTGAACCACACCTGAGTCATGCCTTTCCGTTTCCTCCAACCATCCACACCTCCTGTACACAAACCACAACTGATTGATCTGAAGCTACAAAACGTTTATTTTAAGAAGGCGTTTTCTTCCACTAGTACATCGTGAAGGATTTCTTCAGTTCTTTAAGAATTCCAGTCTGGAGTTTTGTGAAGACCCTTCAGGTCTGCTAGATGGAAAAGAGGCCGTGGTTTTGATCACACACGTGTGGCTCGATCTTTTTTCATTCCTGACTTCAGTCCGGTCGCCAGGACGCACCAGAAACTGTTGTTTAGACTGTGTAATGTGTGCGAGTGTTTTGGCTCTTTACATCCAAACTAAACCAGTTGGACAAGATGAAAGGTGGAAGTCATCAGGGATGGAGGTCACATTAATCATTAATGAAATTAACCGATAATTGAGATAATGTCCCCTCAGGACCACCAGAGGGCAGTAAGTTACAGGAGGTCTCAAACTTGGAGCACCAAATCAGTCAAACATGGAATTTGTGGCTGATCCGTGTGGTTCTGGACAAACTGTTTTCAGAGCGTCCACTTCCTTACAGGAAGTCTGGATCCTTGAAGGGAGCTGAGGAATGGATCAGAACTTTTCACACACCTGTAGAAAGTTCTTCAGGGCAACAGAATATTTGAAGACAAGTTTTGAGACTGATACTTTATTTCTCAATTTTTTGGCTCATATTTGACACCCCCCCCCCCCACACACACACACACACACACACACACACACACACACACACAAACCTTTGAAGCTATGATGAGCATTTTAGTTTTTCTTCCTGTCGTGTCTCACCACCTCTTGTCTGTCTCCCACTCTCTCTCTTCTCAGTGGACACGGTGTGTTTGAAATGGGCGCCTCCAAAAAACAAACAAGTCAAGTTGTCCAAGAAGTGAGGAGATATCCGCATGTGTCCCAGGATGTTTATATTTGTACATTTCTTCTAATAAACCTGTAAATATAAACCAGATTCATCTCTTCTTTCACAGCCAGTGAAGGGATCATTTGAGAACTTTTGCACACGTTCATAAATCAGTTTGTGAGTTCATGCAGGGCTCAAAGCGCTACGGCTTGACAGCGAGAGCTCGCTGGTCCACCTCAACTTAATTTTAGTTGATAGACAGGGATACATCCAATAACATTGAATTTGTTTATGGATATTGAAAACTCAAAACGGTTTTGTGGTTGGTCTTATGTGTGGAAAAAAAAAAGAACCAAAGGGTCTGCACCTTGTAGTGTATAGTCCTTGTGTGATGGGTTATATACAGACATTTTCCAAAAAAAATTGAATATCATGGGAGAGTTGTTTAACTTCCACAATTATGTTCAAAAAGTTAATATTTAATAGATTCAGGGCTCACAATTTAAACAATTTCAAGTATTATTTTATTTACATAATTTGGGCTTCCAGCTCACGAAATCCACAAAAACAGGATTTCAAAAAATTCGAATACTGTGAAGACATCAACCCACACTATTCAGTTTTTGCAGAAAAAAGAAAAATTAGGATCATAACAAAATCAAAATATGGTACTTTCAAAACAATATATCAATCTTCAATACTTTTCGTTAATCACTGCCTCAATGCGACGTGGTATTGAGACAATCAACCTGTGGCATTGACTGGGAGTTATGGAAGCCCAGATTTCCTTGATGCTGTCAGCTCTTTGTTGTTGGGTCTGGTGCTCCTCATTTTCATCTTGAGAATACCCCATACAGTAGATTTTCAATGTGGTTTAGGTCTGGTGAGTTGGCTGGCCAGACAAACACTGTGATGGCATGCGCATCAAACAAGGTTTTGGTGCTTCTGGCAGCATGGGCAGGTCCAGGTCCTACTGGAAGATGAAATCTGCATCTCCATACAGATCCTCAGCAGAAGAAATCATGAAGTCCTCTAAAACATTCTGGTAGACTGTTGTGGTGACCTTAGTTTTAAGAAAGCAGAGTTTACCAACACCTGCACCAGACATTGCACCCCAAATCACGACTAACTGGATATTTCACACTGGACCTCAAGCAGTATGGGCTCTGTTCCTCACCCTTCTTCCTCCAAACCCTTGGACCTTGATTTCCAAACGAAAGACACACTTTACTTTCATCGGAAAAGAGGACCGAGGACCTTTCCACTAGACTTTCCATTGACATGCTTGGACACAGCACTCTGTGAATAGCCAGCCTCCTTAGCTATAACATTTTGTGGCTTACCCATCCTATGGAGAGTATCAATGATGGTCTTCTGGCTAGTTGTTATGTCTGCAGTCTTCCCCCATATTCAACCAAACAAGACAATTGAACCAAACTGAAGCAATTTAACGACACCTGGGAAACCTGTGCAGGTGCTTCGAGTTTAGTAGATGATTAGTGTGTCACACTCAGTTTAAATCATTCTTACCCTGCAACATTGGGCTGATTTCTCCACAGTATTCTAATGTTTTGGAATCCCGTTTGAGAGTTTCATGAGCTGGAAGCCCAAATTATGTAAAAATAAAACATACTTGAAATAGTTTAAACTGCCCTGAATCTATCTATTAAAGATTAACTTTTTGAATGGACTTAAGGAAGTTAACTTTTCCATGATAGATTATATATATATATATATATATATATATATATATATAGTAAAAATAAGTTAATTTTCTAAATAATCTAAACAAAAAGCTGTCGGAGCAGCTAACTTACTTTTAGGAGGATACACAGGGGTACAGAGCATAAAGTCTTTGAGAAGACCATCCAGAGACACTGACAAGACACCAAGGGGCTGAATATATACAGACACTAACAAGGTGAAATGAAAGACACCTGCAGTGATTAGGATCAGACACAGGTGAGACAGAGCTGGAACACGGGGAGAAACTCTGAGGGGTGACTGGTAAACATGAGGGAAAAACAACATGCAGCCCAGACCCCAGAAACCCACACGTTTTGTGAGATCTAACTCTGATTGTTTCCGTTGTACCTCTCTAAACATTTTGTGGCTAAGCTTTTGGGATGCAGGTCTGACACCAAGGGGACCCTGAGCTCAGCTCATACCATGAGGCCAGTTTGGACTCCCTCAAACTGAAATGGGAAGTGGACGTGGAAGAACCCATATCAGACTCAATCTGGGGACGGATCATTAAAAACATTTACTTATCTTCAATCTGCCTTAGGATTCAAGGTTCTTTATTTGTCATACACACCACATGTGGTACATGAGGTGGAATGAAACTGTGTACACAGGGTCCCAGTTACATCCAACAAAAGTATAAAATGTAAAAGAAAAACAGTAATAAGATCTAAAATATGAACTAAGAAATATGTTAACTAAAAATATGCTAAGCACTAGTAGTATAAAAACAATACACTGAACAGCAGCACGAACATGAGTCTGTGTGAGCAGATGAGAACGAATGAACACAGCAGCATGAAATAGATCAGCAGCATAAAATGGATCAGCAGCATGAAATAGATCAGCAGCATGAAATGGATCAGCAGCATGAAATGGATCAGCAGCATGAAATAGATCAACAGCATGAAATAGATCAACAGCATGAAATAAATCAGCAACATGATGTGATTTTTTTTTCACAGTAATTATCCTGGTTAGAGATTCATGAGTCTTAACAGCCTCAGGGTGACATGCTGTAATCCAATTCAAGGTAGTACACAGGTTGCACTGGTCCAAAGACGAGCTGTCCAAAATTAGGACCAATCTGGACCCAGCATGCAATCATTGCAGACAAACTCCAGCTACACTCCTGCATACATTCTGAACCTGTCCCAAGCTGCAGACCTTTTGGCAATCTATATTTGACATCTTCTCTGGAGTGTGTGGCAGGACTGTACACCCGTCACCACTCATTTCATTGTTCGGGGTGGTCCCTGTGGATATGTCCTTCAGCAGGTACGAGAAGGATGTGATCGCTTTTGGCTCTCTTCTGGTCAGGAGGCTAATTTTGCACAACTGGAAGGACCCACACACCCCAGCATATGTGCACTGGGTGAGGGAGGTGATGTACCACATCCATTCAGAAAAAAATAAGGTACACCCTAAAAGGTTCTGCTAATAGATTTTGGGACACTTGGCGGCACTTTGTCATATGTGGAACATATGTTAGTGTCTGTTTAGTTTGTTTATGTGTTTGACTGATCTGGGGTGGGGGGAAGGTGGTGGTGGGGGGGGGGGGGGGGGGGGGGGCTGTTCTATGTTTTGTTTTGTTGTATGCTTAAAACAAAAACAAAAAAACAAAAAATAAAAACACTGTTAAAAAAAAAAGCCCAGCTGAGCTCTGAATCAATGGTGGAAAATAAATCGAGGTTTTATAAATACATTTAACCCTCAGCAGGTCCTGAAATGAAATAAATCCAACCTTTGATGAACAACTGCACTGTTCTGATGCATGCTCAATAATCCAGGTAGAAAAATCTAAAAAAGTTAAGTCAGGTCTTCTGGACATTCAAAAAAAAAATGTAGATACGTTTCGTCTCTCATCCGAGAGACTTCCTCAGTCTGAGGAGCTGTATTCAGCTCAGTCTCTTAAATAGCACCTTCTCAGAGTGGATCAACCAGTTTTGCTGCTGACAACCAAAACCAGCTGATCACATGCTCAAGAAGGACCATCAGCCTAACAATGGGTCATTAGCACACTGATGGCTGTTTACTACTCACAGAGGGCTGAGTGATACTAGCAATCACAGCATTGTGAGAGGGGGACAGTTGAACCCGGAGGCCTCCACCCCTGTTTAATGATGGACGATTTCTTTTCACAAAGATGGCCTCCTTTACTCCTCTCTCAAACCATCGTTCCTCTCTATCCAGGATGTGAACATCTTCATCCCTGAAAGAGTGACCGCTGGCCTGGAGATGAGTGTAGACCGTAGAGTCCTGGCCTGATGATGTTGATCTTCTGTGCTGGGCCATCCTTTTGGCCAGTGGCTGTTTAGTTTCCCCGATGTAAGACTGATCACCCTCCTGACACTGAACAGCATACACAACATTGCTCTGTTTGTGCCGGGGGACTGGATCTTTGGGATGAACCAGTCTTTGCCGTAATGTATTTTGGGGTTTAAAAGCCACTGGGACGTTGTGTTTAGAAAATAAACATCTCAGTTTCTCTGATACTCCCTCAACATATGGAATGACCACTGGTCTGGGTCTGGGTTCCTCCTTTTCACCTGATGGCTGACTGGAGTCCTGTTTGGGTTTCTTCTCTGCTTTCAGGAAGGCCCATGTAGGATATCCACATTGCTCTAGAGCCTGTCTTGTGTAGGATTTCTCCTTCTGCCTGGCTCCTGAGTTAGTGGGGACGCTGTCTGCAGAGTCCTGATGAATCCTAACTTGTGCTCCAAAGGGTGATGGGAGTCAAACTGCAAATACTGGTCTGTGTGGGTGGGTTTGCTGTACACCTCGGTTTGCAAATGTCCTCTATCAGAGACTGAGACCTCACAGTCCAAGAAAGCCAACCTGCCATTTTTTACATCTTCTCATGTGAACTTGATGTATTTATCCACAGAGTTGATGTGGTCAGTAAAATGTTGGACTTCCTGAGATTTGATTTTAACCCAGGTGTCATCAACATACCTGAACCAATGACTTGGTGGTGTCCCTGAAAAGGACGTCAAGGCTCTCTTTTCTACCTCCTCCATGTACAGGTTGGCAACAACAGGAGAAACTGGAGACCCCATAGCACACCCATGTTTCTGCCTATAATATTGGCCCCCATTTGTGAAGTAGGTTGACTGCATCTGTAGATGTCCAGCATTTACCCACTTGAAGTGCTGTGTGACTTCCTTTGAGAAGCTCATCTGTGACGACAAATGGGTTCTGAATGAACACGGTGAGCTGCTGTTCAACACTGACGCTGTCAAAACCATTGCTCCCCTGTAGCCTGAAAAGAAATAAAAAATGCAATAATTGAGCCAACAACTGGTCAAAGCTGAAAAATATAATATAAATAAACTTTATGTTTAAC